GTGGAAATGAGCTTTCTCCAAAAGATGGCTGGCCTCTCCCTTAGCAATACGGTGAGGAGTTCAGTCATTTGAGAGGGGCTCGAATGATTAAGAAGAGCAGCTACTCCTCCACATCGAAAGGAGCCAGTTGAGGGGGTTTGGGCATCAGACTAGGCTGCCTCCTGGGTGAACTGTTCTGGGCATGTCCTACCAGGACATGCTGGAGAGATTATATCTCTTTCAGCTGGCTGAGGATGCATCAGTGTTCCTCCAGATATGCTGGAGGAGGTGACTGAGGAGAGGAAGGTCTAGGCTTTTTTTCAACCCAGTCCCAAAAATGGAAGTCTGAGTGGGTGTTTTTAAAGAATAGGTTACCAATATTGGAAAGACAAATATTTTTTGCCAGACTTTTTCTTTGCTGTTTTAAAATACTCACATTTTCCAGTTGTGACAAATATTCTTTTGTTTATCCATAAAACAAAACATTTTTTCCCAAATACATGTTCACAGGCTCCTGCAGTTTCTTGCAAGGAGGAATATTTTTTAAGGCAGCCCTTAATTCTAGACCCGGGTGATACAGTGGTGTGAAAAGGTGTTTACCCCATTCCTGATTTGCATATTTGTCACATTTACATCAGGTAATGTTCAAATGTTGGTTCGTGGTTTTCTTCCATTTTTGATCTACTGCAGAATATTTTTAAGGCAGTTATCTGCTATAAAAAGCCAGGACAGGAAAATCTCCTCAGTTACTTTGACACAAATGCATCTGCTGTGATGCTTAAACCTCTGATGAAGTCTCACAAGTGTCAGCTTTGTTTCTATAGCCAACATAGATATAAAAATATGGATATATACTGATAAATGATCATTATTATAATAGTTCTGGCTGTCTGAGTCAAAATTTAATCGAATCAAATCGGGACGTTGTGAATCTCAATCGAATCGATTATAGAAATCAGTGACGATACCCAGCCCTAAACATCCTGCCAACAATGGTGGTGGTAGTGTGATGGTCTGGGGCTGTTAAGCTGCCTATGGACCTGGAAGACATGCTGTGGTAAACTGAACCATGAATTCTGGTATCTACTAAAACATCCCGAAGAAGAACGTCTGGCCACCTGTTTATAACCTCAAACTGAAGCTTGATGAAGACTCCGGAGTGGCCTAGTCAAAGTCCTGACCCGAATCCTATTGAAATGCCGTGGCATGACCTTTAAAAAGCGGATAATGCTCGAAAACCCTCTAATGTGGCTGAATTACAACAATTCTGCAGAGATGAGTGAGTCAAAATTCCTCCAGAGTGCTGTAAAAGACTCATAGCCAGTTATTTATTATTCATTAATAACTTGTGTGGCCACCCTTAGCAGTTGTTGCTGCTAAGGGTGGCCACACAAGTTATTAGGTTTAGGGGGCAATCA